GGAGTGCAGAGCCGTGGGGGCCTCAGAGGACCTGAATGTGACCTGGTGGCACAGTGACCTCCCCAAGAAGTGGCAGCAGACTGGGACCCTGGGACCAGGCCCTAGCATCTGGCCCCTGGCTGTGCGCCTGCCCCTGGACCAGGCCAACACCAGCCTCACCTGTAACGCCAGCAACCAGGTGGACCTGAAAACTGCCACCACCACCCTGGGGGAAGTCTGTGCCAATCGTGAGTATAATGTACCCAGGGAAAGGTAGCACTGCGGTCCCTGCAGGCTGACAGCACACCTCCCACCTGGTCACACACACAGAGCGGCTGGGAGTCGCACCCAACTTGTGTCTGCGTTAAATTCTCTCACTGTCATGCCCTCCTCTGCACCCTGGGCCCTGCTGACCCAGGAGGAAGTCTTCCTCCCACCCCCACCGTCACCCAGAGCCGTCTTCTGGACACAGAACCTGGATTGTGTCATTCCCTGTGTCGTCTGTGGGATTGGTCTCCAGGGGCTCCCTGAGGAATTCCTTGGGGGGACGCCCCCCATCCGCGTATCTGACCTCACTCACACCCCGCACACCCAACGCTTCCCGATACCTCTGGCCTTTGCAGGCTGTGAGCTCCAGATAGTCTGTGCCTCTTCCATCAGCCCTCCCACACGAATCCTTCATTTCTTGTCATATTTTCTTAAAGGGTTTCCCACAGGCACGGCTGACTTTGTGATCATGTGACCCATGCTGTCACACAGGGCCCCTCACTGGGTTTCCAGCTGAGCTTTTAATGAAGTTGAACAACGGGCTCCTGGTCTTGTTTGCTCGGGACCATGCAGCTGCTGTTTTCCTTTTGCCTTCAGGCGTTACCTCCTTCCAGGAGCAGTCCATGTCCCCCACACTGGTGGCAGAGCTGTCTCTGTGATGGATGCGTGTCCCTTATAGCCCAGACACCTTGTCCTCCTTTGGTTCCTTGTGCCAAGCAGGGCTTTTGGACAAGTTTGCTCACAGCCGGTGTTTCACTGAGTGAGTGACTCACCTGTGCCCCTGTGTGCAGCCTTGGCATTGAACCCATCCCCCACCTGCTGAGGGGTCTGACGTGTCAGCATCACGTAAAACCCATCACCCTGTCTTCCATCGAAATCTGATGTCCTAGGTGAATTTCAACTCTTAGCATGACCCACAAGACCCCCAATCATTCCTGCCCCATCCCTGTCCTCCCGGCCCCAAGGGTGCTGGCAACTGCAGGGTGCCTCCCTCCTAGAGTGCCGTGCCACCCAGACTATCTGGGAAAATCCTACGACTCCCACTAGACTCAGGTTACCCATCACCACATCCGGTATTTCCTGTCCTCCCTCCTGGGTGACGAGCTCCTCGGGGCAACACCATCCTTGTCATCTCTCTGTACCTGCCATGCTGCTCCGTCCTCGGCACTGAACCAGGACCCTGCGGACTTCCCCACCTGCTCTGTCTCTCTCTCCCCTTGGCAGTGGGTACCTCACGTTCTCTCTTGTCTTACCCTTCCTCACTCTCCATGTGAGGGAAAAGATTCACAGGAACACGACAGTGGTCGCCACATGCTAAGCCTTGTAGTTGCTGTCCCGGCTGCGCTGCTGACTGTGGGAGTCGGGCTGTACCTGTGGAAGACACGTGGGAAGAAGAAAGAGGAGATGGAGATGGGAACAGGCAGGTTGCGGTTCCCCTTCAGGCCCGGACCCCTCCGCACGGTGCCCCTGGCTCCCTTTGTCCCTTTGTCCCTGCACAGGGTGGTGGTGTGGCCCTGGCCTTGGAGGTCACGGCAGTGGGGGGTGTACAGGTTTCTGAGGCTCAGAGTCGAGCTTTATTTTGTGTGTGACTCAGGTGCGGGATTGGAGGAGGGCTGTCGAGACCATGAGGATGACATCCACTATGTAGAGCTGAGCCATCAAGAGCCCAAGGAGGGCGGGGACAAGGTGAGAGCTGGGAGCTGTGCCACCTGGGCTCCCCAAGGTACCTGTGTGCCCCCGTCGGGCTTGTCAAACCCAGTCATCTGCTCTTTCTGGCCCCTCTGCCTCCTTACCTCCTTCTGGCGAGTTCACATCACAGTAAGAACGTTTACATGGGACCCATGTCGTGCTGGGCCCTTTGGGAGACGCTTCCACAGTCATGTCAGCAGCACTGCTTCCACGCAGGCCCCTGGGGACCCCTCAGGTGCTCCAGGTGACCCGTGTCTTACACTCCTAGGGCATCTGTGGACAACATCTGGAAGGAAAGAGTCCTGTGACTACTATCTACAGTGAGGTCCACAGGCCAGGCCTGGCCATGAAAGTCATTTAAGGGGAAGCAGCAGGAGAAGGCAGCACTCCCAGGCTGCCTCAATTCCCAGCAGGACGCCTGCAGACACATCCTCTCCCAGCTCTGCTCCAGCTCCAGCTGCCTGGTCAGCGTTACTCTGACCCTTGTGCCCTCAGCTCCCTGTCACACAGGACCAATGTCACATGCACCACTTTTTCTGCTAGTAAAACGGGATCTCTGGGGATGTGGGCACCCCCACTGCTGTATGGGCCAAGGTCACTGGGCGGCCACCACAGAAACGCCACAGAGGTACAGAGACATGGCTTGCAGGCGCTGCGTGCTTCCTACAGCCTCTGGCCTCGGTCACCACCACACTTCCTGGGTCCTCCAGTCATGGGTCATGTCGCCACTGCTCTGATGGTTCTGCCACGTCAATGAGTTCAGTCCTCCCGCCTTCAGATGTACTGATGGATGGCTCTTGGGGGTCGTCCTGGGCTGTGCCCAGGATTCTTTGTTGGGCTATGGATGTCCCAATACTGACTGTGGCTTAACAGGGAGAGACAAAGGGAAAGACTCAGCCTGTCCCACTGCTGATTCTGCTTTTCCTGTAAGAGGAAGGGCCTCCACCAAAGGATGCTGATTCCGGTGAGTAGGAGCATGACACCAGCGTGGTACCTGGCTCTGAACAGGCAGAACATGTGCTAGGAGAGCGGCTCTAAACCGAATCGTTGCCAGATTCGATCAGAATGGTACACACTTCCCACCTTGCACACCAGCACCTCCTGGCTGAGTTGGATAGGCACATTCAGGTTCGATGAGCTGGTCTCCTCGAGGAGAGGGCCAGAATCAGAAAGGACCATGAGGCTACATGACCATTAAAAGTATCCCAGAGAGGGCTGGCCAGGTGGCTCAGTTGGTTAGAGCACAAGCTGAGCAACAGGTCACCAGTTCGATTCCCACATGGGCCAGT